AAAAAATATGAAAAGACAAGGTGAGAGACTCGCATTTTCCTTTGGGGTTCCAGTCATAAATCCACATGACAATTTAGGACAACATTTGATTGCACCAAAACACATCCAGTGTCCTATCCTGCTAGGAAACCTGTTTTCAGCTGAGATTTTGGAAGGAGGGCACTTCTAACAACCGTGGCTTTCAAAGGCTTTTGCCAGCCAGACTAGAACTGGTGGCCATGGCGAGATGAACTGGGCATAACAAGCCTAGTGAGGCAGAAGGCAGACAATAGGTTTGAGAGTGTAGAGCTTGATATGTTATGGCAGGAGGTACACAACACCCACTGCTGCTGAGATGGTTTGTCTGATTTGATAAGCATTTCTTTGTGCTACGTATTGAGTGAAATCAGAAATCGCCATTGCATTTGTTTTCTTTGCAGGTGAATTTTATACTTTTCATTAGTATTATAAGAATCTTACTGCAGAAGTTAAGATCTCCAGATGTTGGAGGAAATGACCAGTCACAGTACAAGTGAGTAATATTTTTAGATGTTGTATACAGAACCAAAATAATCTCTCTAAGATGTCTTCTGCTGAAAGCTGCTACCAGCACTTGCTGTGATACTATAATTGCATTTAATTCAGAAGTACTTTTAGATGTGGTTTGCTAAAGATCTTATCTCTATGCTGAAACAGACATTAACATAATTTCTTTTTGTCAAACACTAAATTCAATAAAGAATATGAAATTTCCTAAAGACCAACAAGATATTCCTGAATTGGAGTTTAACCCATGAATAAAATATGGAGAGTAGTACCTTTCTTCTAATGTATAAATATTTCATTTTGGCATAACAAAAGTTTCAATATCAAAACACTTTGCTTCAATCTCCTTCAAAATATTTTTTTAAAAATTTCCTTTTCTAAAATACGTTTTGCTGTAATGTTTGCATATATTTTAAGAGCTGGGAAGAAGTTGTTGCCCAAAAAGTAAAAAATGAAATATAGTGGCTTATGTTAATTTAAAATAGCATCATTATTTTTTCTATAGGAAAACAAATGTTTCTGATTTAGATTGACAATTTCTGTTTAGGCTTTCTGCTTTTTTTCTTTTGGTTTGAACAAATCCTAACATCCATTTTTTCCACAGCTTTAGAATCAAGGAACGTTGAGAAGAAATTTAAATACATTGCTAAAATTGGATTTGTTCTTTATTATATTTCCATATCAGTTATTTTCTATTATAATAGCTGCTGGATACTGCAATCCAGAATAAAGATTCTGTTGTAGTAGGTCTTATTTTAAAGCCCAGATATAGACACTGACTTGGACATTTCAGGATGTTAATACAGTATTTCAGTGACAAAACCTAACATGAACATTCAAATTCAAACCCATGCAAGTGACGTTTGAAAACGTGCTCCTAGATGACAACTTTTCTTCATTTAAAAATTATGAATTCCTGTCCTAAATGCAGATTAAGCATGGTGTGCTAAAGCAAAGCAGATCTTTAATGCCAAGAGAACTAGGACCTATTTTATGAAAATGAGGCATTCCCTTCCTATCAGTTCCATCATTTTCCACAGCTTATTGTAGCACTTCATAGTACAAAATACTCATTCTGCAGCCCTGTGAATTCTTTGCTTTTAGCATTTGATTGCCTGATTAAGTCTGGATTGGATGGCCGTTAGTTGATACCGTTGGAACAGTAGATTAACCTTCTCAAGAAATAACTGCTTCTCCAGAGCAAATTAAAGGGCTGGGAAGCTCGTTTTTCAAAATGCAAATGTATTTTCTAAAATACAGAGGTGAATAAGGCTCTTTTTTCTGTTCCTTCACTAAAATCTAAGTGCAGTGTAGAGAAAGTAAGATCTGCTAGATGAAAAATATTAAAACAAGAGTGGAATGAAAGTGAAATGAGTATAAAATGAATAATCACCATGTGACTTCATGCAAATCACCATTTTCTTTCCTCCTTTTGTCCCACTTGCTTGTACCTGGTTCCATCCTTTTTGTTGCTCATTTTACTTCAGCAGTGGGTAAGATTAAGTTCCAATAAAATCAGTTTTCCATTTCAGTTGGGAAAACAGGAAATTTTCTGCAATCATCATCTCCAGTTATATATTAAATTTTTCTGCTAAGGAAATCCTATTTGTCCAGCTTATGGGTATCGCCTTTAGATGTGAGGGTTTTACTATTCTTGAGAAATTTTGCTGTCAGAACTGATTATTTCCCCATAAAAAAATGCAACTTCTGGGACATTATTAGCAAAGGAAGGCCATAAAGACTGACACAGAAAAAATAAAAATGCTTGAAATACTTTTCCTCTGTTAAAACCAGTGACTTCACAACAGCATCCATTCATCGTTGTATCAAGTTATATTCATCAAGACAGTGATGAATTAACGGGACTCAACACTATAACATGCTGAATTTTATCTGATACCAGACATCCATAATCATGGATGATTGACCCTGTATAATATAAAAAAATGATGCTATTAGAGTGAAATAAGTGGCAAATAAGGGATAATTAGCTATTCATCATTTCAGTGGTTTCACAGGCAGTTTGTCAGAGATGCTCTGCTAAATAAAGTTCTTCCTTAACTTCAGTAGTGCCTTGTACTAAAAGGTGTTACGTAACTGACAACATTAAAAATTATTTACGAGTATATGCTTAATACCATCAGTATAGTTACAAGATTTTAGTATTTGAGGGTAAATCTGAAATTGCTCATTAAGATCTCACAACTGAGATAATTCTGGATTACATTTCCTAGGTATCATTTGCATACTGTATATGTGGAACATATAGACTATGTGGTTGCACACATAAGGAAGGAAATTAACATAAATTAATTTCAGAAGGGAGATTTTTACCCTCCATACAAGAGGATCCATCTGTATGACTTTACAGGAAGGTATTTATTCCTTTCCACTCTGAACTCTTTATGCCAGATAAAAAAATCCCTTGAGAGATCTGATGACAGCTTGTGACACTTTGTCAAATGTGGTGCTGTGGAATAACACAGTAAAACCCCACCCCCAAAAACCATGCCATGAAACCAGGCTGGGGACTGGATGTGTGTCAGAGAGACAAAGCAGAGGGCAGGTCCTACACCCTGCTGCTGCCCACAAGGCAACTGAAAAAGGGTCTTTTGGTTTGAAGAGGTCCTGTAGCCTTTTACCTGCTTTTGGAAGAGTGCAAGGTCACTAAGGTCAGCAATGTAGGAGTTTACTATGAGGCTAATCTCGTAGCAAGCCTGGAAGGAAGAGAATTTGATAAAGAATGACTCTTATTAAGACTGTTTACAAATCCGAAGTCATATAAGGTTTATGTATCAGGTTCTTATCTTAGTAAAACTATCATTAAAGTCCATCTTCTTCTCTTTTCTTTACCCAGGAGACTTGCAAAATCCACGTTGTTGCTTATTCCATTATTTGGAGTTCACTACACAGTGTTTGCTCTATTTCCTGACCGCAGTTCCAATAATTATAAAATAATCTTTGAGCTCTGTTTAGGATCTTTTCAGGTAAATTTAAAAATTTTTATTCAAAAGACATTTTATTTAACTAGGTTGGTGCTTCCTACTAACTAACGAATGTTTTCTCTTTCCAGGGGTTGATTGTTGCAGTCCTGTATTGTTTTTTGAACAGTGAAGTAAGTCTCACTTTTACCACTGAAGATGTTAAGTATTGTTTTCAGTAAATGTATTAGTGCCCTTACAATTCCACTCTGATACATGAAGCTGTTCTAGAAGATGTTTGCATTCCCATTTATTAGACTATGTGTGTGGTAGTTTCTCTGCAACAGGAGAAATTAGTGTATTTGGGTGAAGAGTTAAGAGCTGTTTGAAATCTAATTCCTTGCACACTGAGGTGTTAGTAAAGAATATCTTCTGTTATTTAACATAATCTAATTCTAGTTCTGTTACAAGCAATGTTAACTGTGCAAGTGAGGTGCAACAAGTCTAGAAATTTATCAAAAACTTGAAATTATTAATTACTTAGGGGTAATCTTCTGACAGAATCTAATCCCCAGAACAGCAGCAGGTTTTCAGAAGTACTCAGCATGTTGCAACTTTCCTAGTCAAAACTGAGGAAGATGCAAGGAATGTCTTTTGATATCAGCCACTTTTGCAAGTAAAATATACATTAAACAGCATGCAGTGTCTGACAAGAGGAATCTGTCTGAAGAAGACACCTGCTTGCACAGGGAATTGACATTCAGGTCTCCTGAGTGCTATTCTGGTCTTTGATATTCATGAGATGCCTGATTTTGGGCTAATCATTTGATTCTATGCTTTTAAGTACATGTGATTAATATCTAGATACCAAAAGCTAATGTGGCAGCACAAGTGATACAAAACTGATTTTGAAAGTGGCCTTGGGGCATCTCCTCACAGACAGTGTAGACGCAGTCTTTGCCTCAGTGTTGTAATCTTTGTAAAAACTGATTTGATATCCAGAAGGAGCTGGACAGGCTCATGAAGTTCATTCAGCAAGGCCAGGTGCAAGGTTCTACACCCAGGTCAGGGCAGTCCCTGGTATCAGTACAAACTGGCAGATGAAAGGATTGAGAAGAGTCTGGCAAAGAAGGACTTGGGGATAGTGGGGCTGAGAAACTGGACATGAGCCAGCAATGTGTGCTTACAGCTGAGAAAAACAGTCATATCCTGCATCAAAAAAAGCATGGCCAGCAGGTCAAGAGAGGTGGTTGTCCTCAGTACAAGAATGACCTGAACCTGTTTAGAGTGAGTCCAAAGGAGGGCCACAGAAATTATCAGAAGACTGGACTAACTTTATATGTTTAAACATGTAAAGTAGATTATATTGCACGTACGGAAGAAATTTTTCCTATGAGGGTGGTGGAGACACAGGAGCAGTTTGCCAAGTGAAGTTGTGGTAGCTCCACCAGTGGAAGTGTTCAGGATCAGGCAGGATGGAGCTTGGAGCAACCTGACCTAGTGGAAGGTGTCCCTGCCCGTGGCCGGGGGTTTGGACTAGATCTTTAGAAGTCCCTATGAACCCAAACCCTCTGACAGCCAATAAACGTGGAAGAGCTGCTCATGCAGAAGAAGGTTTTCAGCTCATCTTGTGTGTTTTCTTTTGAACGCAGGTGCAAGGGGAGCTGAAGAGAAAGTGGCGGAGTTTGTGCTGGAAGCAGACGGCAGGCAGAGACTACAGGCTCCACAGCTCCTCCGTGTCCCGAAATGGCTCGGAGAGTGTTTCGCAGCTCCACCGCAATTCAAGGGCTCAGTCCTTTCTGCAGACAGAGACCACCATGATATAAATTAAGGAGGTCCCCCAAAACATGAAAAACTGTGGGCTATGTCATTCATTATGCAGCTTGATGTGATATTTTATAAAATACAGTTTAGCGCTTTGCTTTTCTACACGTTGGTGTTTGGGAAATTAGTTTGTGCAGACAACCAGTTAAGAACAGAGACACCTGCCCCATGGATGCCTTCTGTTTGGTTGTTTTTTTGTTTGTTTGTTTGTTTAAATGGTATTCATATGAATTTTCATTTTCTCTTGCCATTTACCAGCCCTAACTATTCAAAACCTCATTTACTGTAATGGTCCCTTTACCATCCAACATACCTACAGGACAGATGTATGGTATCTTATTCCATGCAGACTGCTTTGGTATGTGTTGAAAAGGTTAAGATGAGAA